TGGGGGGGCGGGGGGCTGATGGGGGCAGGGGGCTGACAGTGGGGGGGAGGGGGGCTGATGGGGGCAGGGGGCTGACAGTGGGCGGTGGGGGCAGGAAGGCAACCCTGCCCTAGGGCAGGTAGCAAAGCCATTGCAGGCAGGGTGGGCCGTAGCGCAGCAAGGGTCACAGAAGACCTGGAAGGAGGTGGAGGGGTCTGGGGTCTAACTCAGGTTGGACCTGGCGGGGCACCTGCCGCAACGGCCCTCCCTCCCCTTCGGCGCCGCAGACCACAGACCCAGCCGAAGGGCCCCCCCCCCGCCCCCCGCACCTACCAGGCGGGACAAGGGTTGCCGCCTCGCCTTCCAGGAAACCCGCCGCCGTCCTCCTATACCAGCTACTCTGGCCGGATGCTGCCAGGGTCCCGGAGATGCCCTGAAACCTGCTCCCGTCAGAGGCCCAAAGCCACCGGGGTCCCTGCAGGAAACCCCAGTGAAGGGTGTGGCTGGGAAAGCAGGCGGCAACTAGCGGGGTGGCTGCGCCCCTGCCCCACCCCTCCCGGCTCCCAAGGCCAGGGTGGCCTGGTGGGCGATGCGGGGAGGGATGGGGCACAGCTCAGGGTCTGTGGGGGCTGGACCCCAGATGGAGGCTCTCAACATGTTGGTCTCAGGACGTCGGGTCCTTGCCCCCTCCACACCCCACTGTCCGGGACGCAGAAGGACCCTTCCCTCGGGTCCGCCTGTCCCAGGGCGGGAGCTTTCCTCAGGGGTCGGCCCTCTGCCCCCGGTCCACCCTGACCCTCAGATGGACAGGGAGGTGGGGACCAAGCCTCCAGGCTACTTTTCTCGTGGTGGGGGGAGCCCTGCAGCCCCTAGGTTGGCTTGCATGCTCTGGGGACAGGGGACAGGACGGGTTCGGGGGGCCCTCCCCGTTGGCTCTGGTGGCAGAGGCGGCTTCCCCTTGGGGCCCCTCCGACCCTACCGCTTCGGGGCAGGCGAGGTAGAAGCAGTATCTCTCAAGCTGGGGCATCCCAAACACGCCTAGTTTCGCTAATTACGAGGTGGAAGGGAGGAAGCGGCTCGGAAAGGGGGGTTTGCTGCCTGAGCCGGGGAGCACCTTCCTCTTCACACCCAGGGGCAGATGTCCCACGAGCTCCGCCAGCGCGGGTCTATGTCTGCAGAACCGCGGGCAGGGGCAGAACCTTCCCGGCGCTGGGCGCGCGGCCGCCTCCGTACCGCCTCCCTGGGCCTCTGAGGGTGGGCGTGGAGCCCGGGCAGCCCAGGGGGCCGAGGAGGGAGGAGGAGGCCCGGCGTCCCCGGCCTTGCTCATCTGCACCCGTGTTAGGGGGTCCTGGAACAAAGAGCCACCCGTGAGCAGCTGACGGCTGACGTAACGGAGAGGCGCGGAGGGAAAGACAGCAGTCACATGTTATTCTGGAAATACTGAGAATGCTAAAATGCAAAGAGTAAAAGTCACTGTCTGAACGCATTTGGTGGCGCTACCGGGTCGGTTTCTGGGTCCGACCTTGCCCTGAAGCTATGCAAGGTGTCTCCAGGAGCGGACGGTGCAGTTTCTGTGGTTTCAGACTGAGCAACTGAAGAGCCTCCAGGCGGACGCAGGAGCCCTGCCCTTGACCCCTAGACGTGCTCCGCCTCCCCATTACCTGCCCCCATTTCTCAGTTAACTGTCCGTTTTCAAACATGAATGGGCGTCTGTCCATGCCTCCAACAGCTGGCCGCCCAGACCTCGGGGGTGCCGTATCTTCACTGTGAAGTCCTCCCAGGTACGACGATGCTAGGTGGGAGACGGGGCAAGACAGCCGCAGGTCACCACAGTCATCACCGACGGGGTCTGAAGACGACCCAGGACCCACGCAATGTGCTGGGGAGCAGACGAGACGCTTGTCCTGCCTGAGAGGTTCGGAGGCAGCTGGGTTGAGAGGGTTATATCCCTGGACTGAGACCATCTCCCCACCGGCGAGCGGGGCTGGGCTGTCATGGGGCAGAGAGGCCAGCACCCCAACCACAGTCCCCGCCTCCCCCAAGCCCATACCCGCCTGAGAATGTTCTTGCTTACAAGCTGTGGGACGTGCTGTCCACGCAAGCACTGGTCTTCCCTGGAGATGACTGGGGTCAGGACGCCTGGGCAGCTGTATCGGCCTACTGGACACCTTCCCCTGGACACCTTCCCCTGGAGTGAGGCTTCTGAGGCCGGGCAAAGGAGGCCAGTCCACACAAGGGAAGGGGAGGGCAGCTGAGTCCCTGGCACTTGGGCCTCTGGGAGGCTCAGCAGGGCCGAGCTTGCTGGCCAGGCCTGGAAGTATCCCAGGAGCCCCTCTGAGACAGGGCAGGAGGCCTGCTCTCTGTGCACCCCCTCTCCTGGCTGAGAGAAGGGCTCCGTGAGCTTTCCACATGGGGGTCTGGAAGTCCAGCTGCCCCAGGAGCTCCCCTACTGTGGCCCCAGAGCCAGGACTCCAGGTGACCACCCAGAGCACTGGGCAAGCGCAGGACAGGCACGGGAATGTGGGGGCAGGGCCACTGGTGCTGGGACCCCTGCCCCTGCGTCCACGCTCCATCCAAGAGCCCACGTTGACCCGGCCCTACCGTTGGACCCGGCTGCTGGCGACGTGGGACTGTCCTCGCAGCTGCCGCCAGGAGCAAGCACACGCAGCCTAGCGGCCCCCAGCACAATCTCACTGAGCCGGGCCAGCTGCAGATGGGCAGAGGCGAGCAGCGTGGGAGGGCGAGAACCTCAGCGGAGAAGGTCCTCGGAGCCTAGAAGGGTGCCTGGCCACGGAGCCACGAGGACCTGCGAAAGGAAGGTGGCCGGGGAAGGTGGCCAGGGGTGGGGTGGGAGGGAAGAGAAGGAGGGAGGTTGGATCTCACTGAAGGTGCTTCTGTGTCCACTCCTCCTTCTTCACCCCTGCATTTTACCTTGAGTTCTCCAGGACAGGTCCTGGGGTAGAAGTGCTTTTTGGGGTTACTGCAGGAAGCAGAAGGAGGGAGTGGGCAAGTCACCGATACTGGGGGGTGTTGCGGAGGGGTCACTGCCACGGCAGCCCTGTGGGGGGGCACCCCTGGCACGTGGGCTGTGGGGTGAGGGGGCTGGAGGGAGCCTCGGGCAGAGCCGCCAGAGGCCAGCAGGTGGCCCATGGGAAAGGCAAGCGTCTCCCGCCCGCTGAGGGTGAACGCGCGGGACCTCCACCTAGCTGAGGGCCCAGGGAACCCTACCCTACCCACAGCTTTGGGGCTGCCTGGGTGGGCTAGCCCAAATGACCTCAGGCTCACTGAATCAGACTGTTTCCTGGCATGTCTGGGCCCAGGCCTGGGCAGGACAACTGGCCTCTCAGTGAAGACAGTTCAGTGCAGCTGAGCCGGGCTCCTGCCCGCCTCTCCCCCGAGCCCAGCTGCCCCTCAAAGCTGAGCCAGGAGGATGGGGGATGGACTGGAGGCAGGGCGCACTGCTTGAAGGGGAAGGAGGGGGTGACGAACAGCGGCCTTGTTGTCCCACTACCTGCAAAGCCTGAGATGTCCACTGGCCACATGTCCTCAGGCCAGCTCTGCCGTCTGCAACCACCTGGGCATCATCTCGAAACTTGAAAGATCCCGTGTCTGGGCCCAGATCCCCAGTCTAGGGACCGGGGCAATTAGGTTCAGCTTCAGGGAGGGCTGGATCAGGGAGCTCAACCCACCTTTGCGAGGGGGCTCCCAGGAAAGAGCTGACAGGCTGCACCAGTACACAAGCTCCAAATTCCCCAACCCCATGCAGGCAGAGCTCAAGGTTTGAGCGGGTTATAGCGGTGCAAAACGTCTTTCAATCTCTCCCTCACTTTGGGTTTTCACGCTCGCGAGGCAGCGTTGCTTGGGGCAGGGCCCTCACAGTCAGGTCAAGCGTAGATCCTGCAGATAGGTCATGACTCGGCTGAGCCCCAAGGTCCCCCAGAGTGAGCATGAGGTTCAGGAGAGCCACAGGAGGGAGGGCCAGACCACCCAGGAGCCCCGGGCAGGCTGGGGAGAGGACGTGAACAGGGGGCAGGGTGTGCCTATCAGAGACTGGGAAGAGCATCCCAGGCAGAGGGGACAGTGTGGCCGAGGGGACTGTGGTTGGTGCTCATGGGACCTTGGAGCCAGCCAAGAGGGGCTAGCTGAGCAGCGTTTGGCTGGTGATGGTTGCCTGAGCTCCACAGAACCCCCCCCCCCCTTGGCAAGTTGAGGTCTGGCCCCGGGGGCTGCACGCCATGCGTCATTGTTGCAGTTAAGACTCCTGGGCGCAGGGGACAGAAACTCAAGCCTTCAGTGGAAGTGAAACCTCTCGGTTCTTGTGACCAAAAGCCCAGAGCCGGACTGCTTGTGGCTTGTCTGGACAGGCCTGCTTCTCCCACTCTGGGCCCTGCCCTCAGCGTCCCACTACTTCCAGGCCATCGTGACCACTGACAGTTCCTGCGGGCCTAGCTGAGCACCAGAGGAAGCTTCTCATCTCCAGACCCAGACACTGTCTTGGGCAGGGCTCCGACAGTGCCAGGTGAGGCGCCCAGGTCCAAACCATGGACACCGGGGGGAGCCTCCCCGGAAGAAAAGCAGGACGCGCCCGGCTCTTCATTCCTGCCCCACCAGGCACCTGGTCCAGCCCCCACCGCCAGTTTTCTGGCCACTGGCTTCTGTGGTCCCCCCTCTTTGTGAGTCTTCATGGTGCCGGAGGACCTGTGACCCAGGCCTGCCCTCAGGGCATCCCACTGCTCTCAGCGGGGCTGGCTTGGCATTCACCATCTCGATGTTCTTAATACTTTTGTCTTTGAACTTGTGTTTTGTAAAGTGACATCCCATGGGATGATGTGGCAAGTGTGGGAGGCTTGGGTTCTCCCTGGTCCCCTTCTCCTGGGACGGATTCTCAGCTGCCCCCTCCACTGTCCTCTGCCAGGTGACTGATACTGCCCCTCCCCCCAGCAGGGGTCTGCAGGGGCTCTGAATCACAAGTGTGGGCTTGGGAAGCCTGTGAAGGCCTGTGTTTCCCCTCCGAGCATCCCCTGCCCCAGGGAGCGTGACCTTAAGCAGCAAATGATAAATGCCAGGACAGGCCCTGGGAAGAGAATGCCTCTTTCCTGCTGTCTGAGCGAGCCCCGGCTCTCACCGTGCCCAGAGCCAGCTGTGCTGGGCCCTCCTGGGCTGAGAGCTGCCCCCGGCTGTCAGGTGAAGTGAGGTCCCCCCCACCCCACTCCCCCAGACTGAGCAGTGCAGGGTGCTTGGCCACAGCTTACCTCATCTCGTTGCCAAGGTCAAGGTCACCTGACTTGGGACAACAGTGCAGAGCACCCCCACTCTCGCAGTCTCCACGACCACCAGCAGGGGGCATCTGTATCTTGCCCCCGCAGCTGTGAGACGTCTGGGGACCCACCTGGCACTGTCTTTGGGGACCGAGGAAGCAGAATGCTGTTGGCAAAGTGGAGTTAAGATTCTAAAAGCTCAGCTCCTGGAAAAGCAGGGAAAGTTGCTGACCAGCAGAGGCTGGGGAGGGGTGCGGCCGGGCCCTTTGGGAAAGTCACGCAGAGGGGTTGGAGCCGAGGATGCCCGCTGAGGACAGGACAGGCTGCAGGGTGCCAGAAGCTGGTTAATGCCCGCCAGCTGGCCATGGATTCCCGGTGGAGCCCTGGTGAGCTCTCTAACTTCTGGGGGATCAGCTGCTCCAGGCCCCCAGAGCTGCTGGTGCCTCAGTGGTCTGCTAACTGTCATCGTGCACCCCCATGTGCCAGGCTGTCTACCCGCACTGCACACAGCAGTGGGGCCTGGCCTGGCCTGGCCACAGGGAGCTGCCCTTCCAGGGGGCATGCAGCTGCCCTTGTGTCCTGGTTCCAAGTCCTAGCCAATGAGCTGCTGCCCCCGAGCCCCCATTCTGGACGAGGCCCCAGCGGTCCTCCTGAGGCCAGACCAGTGGCCCCTCCTGGCTGTCTCAGCTCTAATCGAAGGTGACCTGTTTACCCCCATCTGTCTCCCTTCTGGGTCACAGGGCGGCGTCTGGCCGACCCTGACCCTGTGCCTGGTCCCCGCACACAGCAGGTGCTCAGTGCCGTAAGCAGAGCCGCTCTCCTGGCTGCGTCAATGATCCCCAGTCCCCTTGCCAGCTCCTCAGGGCGGAGACTGCTGCCTAACTCCCAGCACCCCACATAAGCAGGTGCTCAATTAACATTCATGGAATGAATGACCCAATGAAATCATTAAAAAGAGGAGGTTTCGAAACTGTAAAACGCTAGACTCACAGGAGGTAACAGAGGGTTACTTCCGGGGTGGGGGGCACATGTCTGGAGAACATGAGCAGGTCTTTCGGGGATGAAACAGCTCTACAGAAAGCTCCGCGGAGACGGGGGTTTCCAGAAGGAGACCCCTGCTCGGGAATATACTTGGAGTTTAGCTGAAGAGGTGACCAGAGAGCGAGACACTGTTGTGGGCGCTTTCGTTACCCACTGGGTGGACAGGTATCCTCGTTTGCAGGCCCCCCAAGGCCAGTTGTTGGGTGAGCTATGGCCAACACCCAGGGGAGAGGTGCCTCCAGCCAGGTGGTCTAGGGCACTCAGGGCCACAGCCCTTAGGCCCGGCCCCCCAGCTTGAATGACTCCGCGCAGCCTCTTTTGGGAGCCACCTGCTGCATCCGACACAGCCAGTCCACCCAGGCTGGGCTGCTCACGGCAGCCTGAGCCTGAACAGCCCGGGGATGACCTTGGGAGGGATGAGGGGAGCAGTGGGCCGTCCCTGACAGCTTCTGTGAGATGCAGAGCTGTGTGCGGGGAACAAACCGACAGACCCACGTGCACATGTGCCGTCAGGGTGGAGGGCTAGGGAGGGGGACTGCATGCGTCTCCCGCCTGTGCCTTCAAGAACCAAGATAATGTTTCACCTTACCACGAGCTGCCCACGGCCCAAGCGTAGCCAGGTCCTGCTGGACGCCGAGCCATCTGCAGGGCATCAATCGCATCTTCCTCTTGTCCTTGTGAGCAGCCTGCCTTTTCCATCCTTAGGTCAGGCAGGGCCCAGGGAGACCCAGTGACGAGCAATGTCACCTCCATGGCCCACCCACCTGCTGGCACCATCTCTACCTCCCCTGCAGCCGCCAGAGATGTTGTCTGGTACCCCGCTGATCCTGTTTCTCTGGCGCTGGTGCAGCTTCTGAGCCTGTCCTGGGATCCCACGATGACCCTAGCAGTCCCCATCCCCCCTGCTTAGGGCCTAACCTGCTTGCTGGCGTCCCCCTTGGCCCTGGGGACGATCCTCTGATGGGGACGATCCTCTGATGCCCACCTGCCTGGCTCCCTACCCTGAGCCAGCATTCTAGGCCTCTCTCCTTCAGCAGAGCCTGGGGTTTGTGAAGGTTACAGGAGTGCACAGGAGGGAGGGCTGGAAGGAAGAAGAGAGCCGTCCGGAAGCCAGGGTGGGGAGTGGCCACAGGGGCTCTGGAGCTAGGAGCTGGGTCTAGGCCGGGGGCCTACACTGGGAGGGGTGGGGTGAGTGAGAAATAGAACTGAACTCCTTCCAGGGGCTGTCCGTCTTCAAACGGAGACCAAAGGCCCCTGTCCCTCCTGGACTAGGGCCCAGTGTGGGGCTGAACCCTCTTTTCCTCCCCGTGCTTAAATCGGGGTCAAGACTCTAACGTGCAAACCGGTGATGAACCGGGGAGTCCCTGAAGACCCAAGAGAGCGCTGAAAAGCAGGACCCTCGAGGAGGCCCAAACACAGGGTTCCCCAGGAACAGCGGTTGCAGAAGGCAAGGACACAGACGAAACTTAGGAAGCGGGGAGGTGCAGCCCCAGCGGCCGCAGAGCTGCACTCAGGGTCCACCTCTGAGGGAGGTCTGCGGGGCGTCTGGGCCGGGCCGGAGGGTGGTCCGTCGGGTCCACCCTGCCGTGAGCGGCTTTAGGTCGGTGGTCGTGGTCCTACTCGCCGGCTCTGCTTCTTCAGACCTCGGGGATACGCACAAGGCGCCAGGGGCTGAGGCCTCAGGTGCTGGGCCCGGCAGGTGCACGCCCGACGAGGCCGGCCGCTGACCACCCGACGCTTCCCGCTCTGCCCCGGGTGGCCGGGCTGGACTTCGCCCACTAGACTCCCCGGGCTCGCCCCGCCCCCGCCGCGCGATACCAGGACCGGGGCGCGAGATCCGTCCCGCCCGGCCATGGCGCGCAGGCGCGGCGCGCGGCCGCCCGTCGGCGCTCCCGGCCTGCCCTGCGCGCGCTGACGTCGCGCAGCTTCGTCCCCGCCGTCGCCGCCGCCGCCATTGGAGTAGGCGCCTCGTCAGTGCGTCCCGTCCAGGCTCGTTGCCCTGCGCCGCGCCCCGCGAGCGGCCCGCGCGCCCGATAGTCTCCGCCGCCGCCGCCCGGCCGGCGCCCGGGGAGGAGGCGGCGGGCCCGGGGCCGTGAGAGCGCGGGTGACAGGCCCGGCCTCGCGGGGAGGCCCGAGCCGGCGGGCGCCCGGGCCCCGCGCCGCGCCGGGCTGTTCATGAAGCATGTCGGCCACCAGCGTGGACCCCCAGGTAGCCGGGCCGGGGCCGGGGCGCGGGGGCCGGGGCGCGGGGCCGGGGGAGCGCGTGCCCGTTGGGGCCGGAGCGCGCCGCACGCCGGACGGGCGCCCGTGAGTAACTCGGTGTTTCCCTCTCCCCCGGTCCCGCCCGCGCCGGCCTGCGGCGCCGCAGAGAACAAAAGGACAAGATAATAAAGGTACGGCGGGCCGGCGCGGGCGGGGCCGGTCCTGCGGCGGCGGGGCGGGCGGGCCCGGGAGGCCGCGGACCCTGCGGGGGGGAGGAGAGGTCCGGGAAGGGCATCTGGAACCGGAAACTTTTCTCCGTGTGCTTCCGGGAGATCGAATTGGGCCGTCGCGTTTGGGGAGGGTCGACGGGGCTTCTCAAGGAGGAGTCGGTGAGCCGGTGGTTAGAGCGACCCCCTCGCGCCTCCCCCCTGCAGGAGGGGTGGGTTGGAGTGGGCGCAGGGAAGGAGGCGGAGGGGCGGGCGCCCGGGCTGCCAGGCGCGCCGCGGCTCTGGGGCGCCCCGGTCAGCCCTCGGCCAGCTGGGCACCCGGCGGCCACGGGCCTGGCTCTCTGTCCGCTCGCGCTGTGACGTTGTGGCTTCGGATAAGCCCCCAGCGCACTGCGAGAACCCGTAAGTGACCCTTCGTGTCTGCTGGGACGGCGGCGTCTACCCAGGGTGTGTTCCTCGGGTGTGACCCGATGCGGGCGCCTCGTGTTTTAAGGTGGGGAGAGGCCCCGTACTTCACTTGCCGTTGCTTTGCTTGTTTGGCTGAGCGTTGGAGCGCGGCAGGTGCGCGGGGAGCCGGCGACCGGAGCCGGGAGTCCTCGCTGGGCTCCCCGGGTCTCTGTCCTGCGCACAGGGGGGCCGTTGGAAGCGGCGACCTCTCTTTGCCCCCGTAGTCTTCCCAGACCGACCGTCTTCAGCAGAACCAGTTACAAGTTCTTGCGGTACTTTTGTCTGCACCTCTGCCTTGTCACCTTCCATCAACTTACGATTGAGTCTTTACCAGAAACACCAAAGTCGTTGACGTTTACGTCATCGTTGTAATTAGTTATGTAAACGTCCGGGGATGCCGGTGGTGCTCCTTTTCAGTGGAAGCAGTTTCTAGGAATTGATGGGCATAAACGGTACTACTTTTGATCTCTATGCTTAAAAGTCATTTTTTAAAATTCAGAGATAATATTTTTCAACTTCTTGTTCTAGTACAAAATGGTTCTTTGCATCCGAAGGATACGGTCCATGACAATGACTTTGAGCCCTACCTTTCTGGACAGTCAAATCAGGTGAGTTTTTTTTCTAAATAACATGTATTTCTGTTTTAGTTTCTATTGAGTTTTGTAACACGCCTTTAGTGTTACGTTTCCGACTTCGCTGACATCCGAGAAGCACAACAGGAGGTACTAGAAATAGTGTGCTGACGCCTCGCTCGGACCGTGGCCTGGAGCTAAATGTGGGGCCCGAGAGCAGTGGGGCTGCGCTGTCTCTGGAGGAAGCAGCATCCCATGGGGGCTGTGTGCCGGTGGACTTCTGTGGGCCTTGGTGTCCCTGGCGCGGTGAGCGCTGCTTTCGATGTGGTGGGGGTGTGCGTGGTTCTTTGGAACTTTCTGGTGAGTCAGTCCAGCTCTGGGCATTAGAACTGTGGTGTAGGAGAGCACCTAAGAGCCAAGCTGTGGAGCCCGGCTTCGGCTTTGGGTTCGAATCGTCACCACCGACTCGGCGACACTTCCTTAGGCGCCTGCCTTCCCTGTGCCTCGGGTACCTTTTCCGTGGCGCTGGTTGTGGTAACTGCTCGTAGCATCGTGGGGCTGCATGAAGCTCCAGCCCGTAGCTGTGATGGCCCCAGTAGGTCACAGCGGCCGATTGCTTAGACACGCGGCACTCCGGGTGCTTTGGACTAAAACATGTTTGGGGCGCGGTGTGTGCTTGGCAGGATGTTTCGCAGCCTTCCTGGCCTTCAGCCACAAGATGCCATTCGTAACCGGCTGCCCCACACCCACACACCGTGGGACGACCAAAAATGTCTCAGCATGTCTCTTGGGGCCAGCTTGCCCTGGTTGAAGCCACCGGGCTAGTTGGAGTAGAGGTTTAAGCATGATGTCTCCCACTTTCTAAACATACTGTGTTTGCTTTAGAAGAAAACCAAGCCTTGCCTCTTCGTGCAGAGGAATAAAGTTGTTCTGTCTCCCTTTTCCTTAGTCTGCTCTTGTCTAAGTGTCTTAGAACTTCTTACAACTTTTCTGCATGTCTGTCCTTGTTGCACTGAGCAGATCCGTCGCAAAGGCACTCGGGAGACCCTTTACAGAGCCTCCCCACCTCCCCTAAGAATCCGCCCCTCCTCTGGGCAGGCCCAGGTGCTACAGAGGAGGCCTGCCCTGGCCTCAGTGACGTATTGCTGGAGGTAACGGCAGGCAGTTAAGTGAACTTATTTTACTTCGGTGCTTTCCTTTTTGTGTGTGATTTGAACACCATGGCAGTAGCGTGTTCTGTTCTAACCAGAGGAAGGCGGCGGGGGTTGTTCCAGATGCACTTGAGAGGCTTGTGTAAGGCAGGAGCTCTCGTGCTGTTCGGGAGGAGCCTTCGTTGGAAGTGGGGCAGACGATTTTCCGGCAGGACGTGGTTCAGCTGGTTGACCCTGGGGAAGCCAGAGCGAAGACCGTCGTAGGCAGACGCTGCCGTGAACCGCCTCAAGACGGCGGCGGCTGTGCGTCCCGGCTGTTAGGGTGCGCGGTTCATCAGCACATCGCTGTAGAGTAAGTCTGTGTTCTTGACTGAGCACGGATTTTCCGGAAACACCCCACTGTTGGAGTGTGGGAAGCAGGTAACACGGGAGCGCGCTGAGATCCTAATTCCCCTGGTCCTCTTGTTCTGCGGGTGAAGAAACAGGATGGGAGAGGCCTGGGTGGTGGGACCTGTTTGTGGCAGAGCTTGGTTCCCCACTGAGGGGTGGGATGTGTCTCCCCGCACACGGCAAGGGCTCCTTTTGTGCTCGTCTGCCATTCCTGCCTTCGGTGGGGGGGCACCGTGCAGTACGGCCTCCTTGCAGACGAGCCGCCGGGAGTTGAGCCACGTCCAGTCCGGGACTCCGCTGCTGGAGAGCCCTGCCGAGGTGGCTCCTGCGCGCAGCTCGGCCGGGGCTTGGATCAGGGCTGCGCGTGCCACCGAGTGAGGGAGAGACGTAGCTGGGGTGGCCGGAGCGGCCCCCCGTGCTGTACTCGTCTTCAGCGAGGTGTCGATGCACGCCCGGCCGCACGCGGGTAAAGGGTGCCGCTCTGCGAGGGGCTCTTCTGCACCCGTGCCTGGACGCCACCGTGAAGGCCGCGGGTAGAGCCGGCAGCCCCCGGTACTTTGTGGTTTACTTAAACCCGGATGTTTGCAGTAGCCAGTTGGAGGCCCTTTCTGTTTCTGTGTTTGAGGTGGTAAGACATGGGACGGTAGGGACCTGTTTCAGAGCAGGCCTCTAAGGTCACTTAACTTGCAGTGCCCTGAACAGAAGTGTCCCCAGGGCGGGTGATTTTTCCCACAGGAAGGTCTCGGGACATTGTTTCTGCTGCGCTTTTATTCCTTCCTAATTGCCCCCAGAACCCTCCTGCATAGATGTGGCAGCGCGGGGTCCCCTTGTGTGCCGTGGAGCGTGCACTAGTCAGTTTTAGGGAGGGGGAGGGAGAGCACTGGGGAGCCGAGGGGCTCTGGGTGGGCATTATGGGTGGGGGGCTTTTGGGGAAGGGCTCTGATGGGGCTCTGGGGAGGCGCTCTGGTGGGATTGTGGAGGAGGGGGCTCTGGGTAGGGTTCTGGGGGAGGGGCTCTGGGTTAAGGGTTCTGGAGGGGTTCTGGGTGGGGATTCTAGGGGAGGTGCTCTGGGGGAGGGGCTCTGGGTTAAGGGCCCTGGAGGGGTTCTGGGTGGGATTCTCGGGGAGGGGCCAGGCAGTGTGGGCGCTGTGGGAGTTAAGGGCAGCTGGGACTGTGCTCAGGTTATACTCAGTCGTCAGCAGATTGTTGGTCTGGTCGCGTGGGACAGGGACAGAAAGGAACAATGGTAAACTTGTGTAGTTTTTTTCAGTGACGCACTTGTGCCGTCAGTGTCCGAGGACGTGTCCGCTTTCTAGGGCGTTGTGTGAGCTCTGCTGTTCTGAGCCTCAGTGCTGGTCGCTCGTCGCTGCTTTCACTCGTCCTGGAGCGCTCTTCTGGGAAGCCGCGCCGGCCGGCCGCCCTGCGCAGGGGGCCTGCTCTGCACTGGGAGCGGACCCCCTGAGTGCTGGCTGGCGGGGGTGCTTCAGGGTCAGGGTGTCCTGAGCTGTCCGCATCTCTTCGTGGACCTGGGTGAACCAGCTCTCAGAAGTCATCTCATGGTTAACTTGGTGCCTCCTTAGTGCTCTGCCGGGAGCATCTGTCTGGTGTGGAGAGGAGTTCGGTTTGTAAAAGACAAACTTGTCTTGAAAACGGTGCTCCGCTATCGTCCAGGGTTTCCGGGGTTTGGGGGCTTTCACCCAGTCGCACAAAGCCAGGCTACACCGGTGCCCTGTCGGCAGCCCACATCACGTGACGAGCCCATGAGCCCCGTGGTTCGTGCCAGTGGCTTGCTCTGTGGTAGGCTTGGGTGACGGGAGGGGCCGGTGAGGAGCGCGTGGTCTTGTGCGCTGTGGCCTCCAGTGATGCCAGCCAGTCAGTGGGCACGTCACGGAGTGCGACTGGCAGGGCCCAGGGAGATCTTCGTGTACTTCTTGTTGTCTCCTTGCTCAAAACTGTGTGCCTTGAGCTGAGGCAGAGGCAGATGTCCTCTGTGTCAAACCGTGCTCCACGCACACAGCCCCACCAGGCGAGGGCCTGCAGCCACGGTCCTCTTGTGCAGGGACACACGCAGCCAGTCTGGCATCCGTAGGGCCTCTGCCACGTGCACCTGCTGGGCCTCCGCTGCGTGCCCTGCGCCCGTGTCCCTTTGATCTTGCCTGTTTACATAATTTACTAAAGCTTCAGTTTTGGTCATCCAGAATGAATGAATTTCTTTTTTTTCCTCAGTGTGGTTCACTTACTAGTAAGTGTGAAAAAGTTTGAATTTTAGAATACATGATTTTCTTTTATGGTTTTTTAGTGGAAATGACATCAGGCTAACAGTCACTGACTTTGAAATCTGTGTGGTCTGGAGGGCCCATCTTGTTTATTATTTTGGACGAGGCCTCAAGGAGGCACCCGAAGCGCCCAGCACTTGGCAGTGTCTCTCCTTCTGTTGCCTAATTTTGCCCCGAAGACGAGTCAGCCTCTCTTTTTTGAGGTCGTGTATTCTACCAAAGGCTATGATGAGAGGTCTCGTGTGTGAGAATGTCGGTGGCGGAGGTGGTTTTACCTTGTGCCTACAGAGATGTGTGGCATGGCCGGCGTGCTGAGGGGAAGCCTGGAGTGTGTGCCGCACCTGCAGCCCCGGTGCCCAGACTTCTCGTTGGCAGCCCCGGTGCCCAGCGCGCGGAGTAGGTTGCTTGCTTGGTGTCAGCGAGCCAGGCTGAGCCGCGGCCGGGTGGCGGCACGTCTGTCGGGAGCAGATGTTCTGGGCTGCATCTGGACGGGTCTGGGGTGAGGCCCTGTCAGTAGGGGGGTCACATCTCTGGTCACCTTCACAAGCGAGTGGAACGTCAGGTTCGCTGGCAGCCAGGAGGCTGGGTCACCTCAGTCCCGTGTTGCGCCGTGACTGCTGGGGGACCAGCCTGTTCTCCATAGGGTTCTCTGGGGGGTCTGCTGAGTCACTCCACATTGCCACTGCAGGGAGGCAGAGGGGCTCGCTTGTCTGGTACTCCAGCCCCCACCCCCGGCTGCCTGAGCCCAGCTCCCACCTTGGTGGGTCCCTGGGCCTGGAGTGGCAGCAGACACCTTGTGCCACCTTGTGCCAGCCGGGCCGGCAGGTCTGCTCGCCTGAAGATTGGTGTGGGGTAGGAGGAGGTCTCTGGCCAGTGCTCTCCATGTAGAACCTTCTGGTATTTGGCATGGAAGGAAGGGGAGAGGATGGGGACCCGTCGGAAGATGGTGTCCGGACTAGGAAGCGTGCTGCTGCCCCTACTCTTACTTTCCTTTTCAGCCTTTCCACTCTTAGGTCAGCTGCCCTGGGCGGGACGCTTCCCCGCCTACCCCGAACCCTCTCCAGGAAGCCATTTAAGTCACCACCAGTGGCCTGGCCTGAGAGGTCCAGTTCTGGCCAGACCAGCAGTGAACCTCCCCAAGGAGGCGCCGTGTCAGAACTGCCGACCCCAGGTATCGATCTGTGCCTTGGGCCGGTTTCCGGAGACTCGGAGAAGGGCCCCTGCTGCGTCGAGGGGTGGTTCGGCCGCCGCACAGGTGTTTCCTGTGTCCGGGACGCCAGCTTGGTTGGAGCCCAAGACAAGGGGCTCTCCAGCTCAGAGAGCAGCAGGCAGGACCCGGAGTTGGCGAAGGAGCTGCCGGAGCCACTCCGAGAGCCCACGGCGCGGCCAGGACAGGGTGGGCTGTGAGTCGGTGAGACCCCTCAGGACTCAGAAGAGGGGCTGGGCCGTCAGCAGGGCCGGGAGGGAAAGGGTGTTGCACGTGGGGCGGGTCCTCTCCGGCGCGTTGAGCAGTCCGAGGGCTTGAGACCAGGTTGTGGGGCGAGTCTCCCTGAGCGCCCCCGCTTGTCCTGTGGCTCGAACCTCTCGTTGCCCGCTGAAAGCCGTTTTCAGCTGCTGTGCTGCCTGTGCTGCTGGCGTGCGGGTCCGCATCATTGCCAGTCGGATGGCTTTGTGCCTCTCTCTGGGTTCCTTTAGCTTTAAACCGTCCACTCCTTGAGGGGAGAGAGGCGGTTCCTGAGTGGGCCGCAGACCGCCCACGGTAGAGGGGCTGAGCCTGGTCACGTCGCCTGGACCCAGAACGTTGCAGGTGGCCACCAGGCCTCTCTGTCCTGGTTTTGTTCTCGGTCGGTGCTCTGGGCCTCCCTGTCGGCAGTGACGGTGCTCCAGAGTCAGCGGTACCCACGCAGGCAGTCTCCGCCAGGGCGCGTCTCGAGAGCGGTCTAACGTTTCCTGTGCTTGTTTCCCCAGAGTAACAGTTACCCGTCCATGGCCGACCCTTACCTGTCCAGCTTTTACCCACCGTCCATCGGGTTCCCTTACTCGCTCAGTGAGGCGCCCTGGTCTACTGGAGGGGACCCTCCCATCCCGTACCTCACCACCTACGGACAGCTCAGTAACGGAGACCATCATTTCATGCACGATGCTGTTTTTGGGCAGCCTGGGGGCCTGGGGAACAACATCTATCAGCACAGGTTTAATTTTTTCCCTGAAAATCCTGCTTTCTCAGCCTGGGGGACAAGTGGGTCGCAGGGCCAGCAGGCACAGAGCCCTGCATACGGGAGCAGCTACACTTACCCGCCGAGCTCTCTGGGCGGCACGATTGTGGACGGGCAGACGGGCTTTCACGGCGACACCCTCAGCAAGGCCCCTGGAATGAACAGCCTGGAGCAGGGCATGGTGGGCCTGAAGATTGGGGACGTCACCACCTCTGCCGTCAAGACTGTCGGGTCGGTCGTTAGCAGCGTGGCGATGACTGGTGTCCTTTCTGGCAACGGTGGCACAAATGTGAACATGCCGGTTTCGAAGCCGACCTCGTGGGCTGCCATCGCCAGCAAGCCGGCAAAACCACAGCCGAAAATGAAAGCGAAAAGCGGAGCTGTGATCGGGGCCGCCCTGCCCCCTCCGCCGATGAAGCACAACGTGGACATTGGCACGTGGGACAGCAAGGGGCCCGCGCCCAAGGCTCCCGCCCCCCACCCCACCCCCCAGCCCGTCCCCCAGCACCAGCCGGCTGCGCAGCCTCTTCCCGCCCAGCCTCCCCCGCCGGCCCAGCCGCCGCATCCGAGCCCTCAGCTGCCGCCCCAAACCCGCTGGGTCGCCCCTCGCAACAGAAGCGCGGCGTTTGGGCAGAGCGGAGGGGCTGGCGGTGATGGCGGCGCTGCTGGAACCGTGCAGCCCAGCTCTGCCCCCACCGCGGAGTCCCACCCCGTCCTCGAGCAGCTAAAAGCCGCCCACAGCTACAACCCGAAGGAGTTCGACTGGAACCTCAAAAGCGGGCGCGTGTTCATCATCAAGAGCTACTCGGAGGACGACGTGCACCGCTCCATCAAGTACTCCATCTGGTGCAGCACCGAGCACGGCAACAGGCGCCTGGACGGGGCCTTCCGCGCCGCGGGCAGCAGGGCCCCCGTGTACCTGCTCTTCAGCGTCAATGGCAGCGGGCACTTCTGCGGGCTGGCGGAGATGAAGTCGCCCGTGGACTACGGCGCGAGCGCGGGGGTCTGGGCTCAGGACAAGTGGAAGGGCAAGTTCGACGTGAAGTGGATTTTTGTCAAGGACGTGCCCAATAACCAGCTCCGGCACATCAGACTGGAGAACAATGACAACAAGCCGGTCACCAACTCCCGCGACACCCAGGAGGTGCCCTTAGAAAAAGCAAAGCAAGTGCTGAAAATCATCGCTTCCTACAAGCACACGACCTCCATCTTTGACGACTTTTCGCACTACGAGAAGCGCCAGGAGGAGGAGGAGGTGGTGCGCAAGGTGGGTCTGGCTTCCCCGGGCCGGGGCGCAAAGTCGGGGTCCCTGACCGCCACTCCCCAGTGGTCTGGGGCAGGGACAGTGTGGTCACGGGAGGGTGTGCATCTCCTGGGCTTCCCAGGCCTGGTCACCAGCGGTGACGTGGATGTGGGCGTCACTGTATGACTTCCCGGTTTGAGAGGACGTAACGGTTGGGACCACAGTGCACACCTCTGTCAGGGACACTTAGGAGTGGTGTTCTGCGGCTCGGGGTGGGCCAGCTGCAGGGGCTGCAGACCCTGCCCTCAGTGGGCCAGAAGTGCTGCCCTAGGGGCTGTTGCTTCCTTCTCCCTCAAAAACCCAGTGTCTTAGTCTGGAACTCGGCACCCAGGTGGTAAGGAGGGGCTGGGGCTGGGGAGGTCTGCAGTGCAGGCGTTTGCTAGCAGCCAGTGAGCCTCGGGAGCCCAGAGGGCAGGCCTCGCGGTGGCGGTGGGCCGTGAGGTCGGCTCTGTCTCCCGCCCCGTGACTGGGAGTGTCCTGAGCGGGGGCTGGTAGAGGCCGCTGGAGGGCCTCTGTGTGTGCTGTAGGAGAACAGGGCTCAGAGGCCCGTGATCCGGCTCAGAAATGGGGAAAGTGAGGACAGCGTAACACACTTTGTAAAGCTGGTTTGTCTGAGAGCGTTCATCCCAGGATTTGTTACGCTTTTCTGGTATTAAAACATTGTTTTTTTAATTAAATGTCCGTTGAGAGTAGATGGGTTTGCGGCCTGTTTTAGCTGAAACCCCGGGACAGGGCGTAGATGACGGGAATCCCAGTGCCGTCTGCGGTGTCAGAAGCTGCACTGGCCGTGACAGCTCATAGTTGGTAAGACGTGAACGGTGAACGGGAGTGGCCCCTCCTTCCCGGGTGTGGAAAAGAGGTGCTGGTCCTTTTTTCCAGTTAGTGAGAATCTGTTTTAACTCTTTAGGTGTAAGATAAAACAACTGAACTGCTGACTTTACAGGGATAGGGCAGAAGTCATTGGTAATAAGCTGAAGACCCTTAGTGGGTTTCTGGCAGTGGCCGTGGGTGGCCGTGGTTTATCTTAGATCCTGTGGCACCTCGGGTCTTTTCCCGAAGCTCACTGGGTTCCGGACGTTGTGTGAGGTTAGGGGTACATTTCTGTCCGTGACCTGGTTTGTGTTTTAAAGTCGGAGGGTCCTAAAGGTACATTAGCGAGGGGTTTTGGGAAGAGGAAGTCTTAAGTTGGTCCGTGGGGTCCTGCCTGCCGGCTTCGAGCTGTCCCTCGGTGAGCTCGAGAGAGGTTTGAACTGTGCCCCGCGCTGCTGCTTGGCCCCGTGGGTCCGTGTCTCAGGCTCATTTTACTTGCAGCGTCGTGAGGAGGGGCCGACGGGGCTTCTGACCCTGTCGATGGGACGCCAGACAGGCAGACGTGGGGCGAGGTGGGCCTGTGCCTGGTGGGAGGCACCTGGCCAGAGGGGCCTTGCCGCAAGCAGGTGGACGCCGTGGGTGGGTGGCGCTCAGCGGCCCAGTCCCCCTGCTGCTGTGGCCTGGCCGGTGCCACCGGGGTGCACCAGTCCGGGACCGGGGCACAGCCCGCCGGGCAGCCTGGGACTCGCTTCTGAGGGCGTGTCTGCGGCCGGTTCACACAGTTGGTTAAACTCTTGTTCCTTTCGCAGGAACGACAGAACCGAAACAAGCCGTGAGGTGGGACCAGCTTCCGTGTTCTGACGCTTGACCAGAAGGCTGGGGGGAGCACGTGCTCCGTGCTGTCGCCTCGTGCAGGGCCCGGCTCGTCGCATCTTCACGCCCTTTGTCTTCTGTTTCTGCCCCGATGGGCCTGCGTTGGTTCGTGTTCTGTGTGTTACGGTGTCACAGAGCCCACTAATGACGGACTGTGCTTCCGCTTGTCGGTCAGACCCGACGTGACACAAGCGCCCCTCACGGCAGGACGTCCCAAAGGTCCTGTTGTCGTTGGGCAGAAGTCACATTCTAGCTCCCAAGAGTCCCTGTCATTTAACGTCTTCATGGGGACTTCTTTGTCACCTTTTCTTACTTTCTAGCAAACACGAGAAACCGGGGCCTGTTTTGTCATTTCCTGCGTCTGTTAAAATACTTTCCAAAACGCTGAAATCAGGTTCATTCGGCCGGTTTGCCATTTTATCACCCATTGTCTGTCTGAGATGCTGGTCTGTCCACTTGATCTTTCTGCTTAGAAAGATAGATTTGAGTTTTTCAGATTCGGTGAGCATGCTGTGTTGGCGCGGAGCGTCCGGCCCCTCGTGGCTCCTCGCCCCGGCGGGGCAGATGGGGGGGCGCGGCCGGTGGACGGTTGGGCTCAGCGGTCTGCGGGCTCAGCTGCGTGGGGCCACCCCAGCCCCCCGCTCTGCACCTGCGGATCCCGGTGACCTCCTGCGTTTGCCCACAAGGCCGAGCTTCCCACGTAGGATCTGCTGGGATAGCCGGTGCTGTGGTGGGTTTCGTTTTCCCACTGAAGGGGTTTAAAAAAAGCAAACAAAAAATCCGTTGAGAAATTGAATTTGCTGTCCTGTGTTGTGTAATGAGGGACCTCGAAGAGCTCGCTGCCACCCGGAGTCTGACTCGGAGCACGAAAACGGTGCTCACGCCCGTCATTCTGGCACAGTCTGCGCCCGCCCGCTGTAGGGGATCCGACTGTTCGAGAGCAGATACCTTCTGGAACCTATTTACTGCAAAAGACCCTCTCAGTCAAAGCGCAAGCCGTATTGTTTAGACTTGTATGGAGAACCCGGCACTCCGAGCTGTCGCCGGCCGCACGGAGTCACGGACAACGTCGGATAACTTTCCTCTGGAGAATACAAGCCTTAATAAACAATACCTATTTAGCAAGTCTGCTGTCCTGTCGTTCTTCACCCCCACCCCAGGGGGCGAGGTCTTGCTCGGCCGCGTGGGCGACGCCGGTTCTCTCGTCTGCGGCAGGAGCCCGTCGTCTCCAGAAAGCGCGCGCCATCCTGACTTCACTCACCCTGCGCTGTGCGCCGTGGAGGAGTTAAGAGGAACGTTTTTCTCTGTTTCTTTTTTCTTTTTCTTTCTTTCTTTCTTTTTTTTCTATGTTCTCCAGCCCAACATGGGGCTTGAACTCAGGACCCTGAGATTCCTTGTTGCGTGCCCCGTGGGCCGAGCCAGCCGGGAGCCTCTTGAAGGTCCAGTTCTCACTCAGAGTCTGTAGCCCCTCAGCGCACTGCGAGCCTTTCCAGGCACAAGCCGAGTTGCAGGAGGTCTGTGAGCGTCCTCCGTCCGCTGGATGCCAGCGCTGACCTCCTTCCTCCACCTGCTCGCCAGCCGCAGACCCCAGCGCGCTCTCCCGAGTCAGCACACGCATCGGGAAGTTTAATGCTTGGGCCGCCTGGGTGCCTGGTCGGTCTGCCGGAGCGTATGTCTGCCTTCGGCTCAGGTCGGGTTCCTGGGGCCTGGGGTCAAGCCCCGCGTTGGTCTCCCTGCTCAGCCGAGAAGCTGCTTCCCCTCTCCTCCCTGCTTATGCTCTCTCTTGCTATCTCTGTCACTGTCTGTCTCTTTCAAATAAAATCTTATCTTTTTTTTAAAAAGGAAGTTTAATTCTTAATTTGTTTTATTGTTGTAAAATTTACAGGTGCACAAACCTTAAGAGTTTTGAAGTCTGAGATAGAAGTAAGGACACGGGACGTGAACACCACAAAACACTTCCTCGTGTGCGCACGCGGGTGTGCGCCCGCGGGGACCCAGTCATCCGTGTGAGGGCGTGGCGGGTGAGCTCAGGAAGCCCGGCCTGGCTCCCTGGCAGGTTAAGCTGGGGGTTTTGCACTGCCCAGCTGGCACGTGTTCTGCCCACAGCAGTGCAGCTCTGTGTTTGCTCAGAATGACTTCTCGGATTTTGTCTTGAAAGTGCACATCAGACCTTGGGTGCTGTTTTCTTCCGTGGGCTTGGCCGTCAGGCTCCCTTAAAGGTAGGCGGTCCCTAGCCGAGCTGACTGGCAAAGCAGTGTCCCCGCCTTCAGTTGGGGGCGAAGCAACAGAGGGGCCAGGGCTGTCACGGGCATGCAGACGGGCCAGATGTTCATCACCAAGGAGCAGAGGCTGGGATGGCCACTCCTGTTTGTCTAACGAGATCAGTTCCTTACCTGTCCCCTAGTTGGAAGGCTCCCTCCACACCCTGCTGGCCAGGTTGGCCCCTGGGAGCAGAAGTCGGGCTGCCTCCCACGCTGGCCCTCGAGAGCGGAAACCACATCCACATCCGAGGAAGGAGAGAACGTGTGTCGTGGCGGGGGAGGCTTAGAGGGATGTATGCAGTTCTAAGCAGGACAGGTTTTGCTTATAAAGGGCTGTGTGACAGTAGTATTTGCCTCCTAAGGCCAACCGGGTCAGCTCTAGCTTTTACCCAAAGGCACACCCACAGGTGGCTCTTTTGTCTGGGCATTTAGCTGTTGAGAGGGAGTCCTGGAGAGTGCCGGCTGGACCTGCCTGCTGGTGGCTTCTCCAGCTGGGGTCCTGTGCTGCCTGGTGCCTCAGGGCCTGAGATCGAGGCACCCCTCTCACTCGGGCAGGAGGAAGGCAGGTCACTAGCTTCGTTTCCTGGTTGTGGTCAGGGAGGGGGTCCTGTTGGGCCTGTGTCGGCGAGCGCGGTGGGCGTTGGCAGGGTCCCAGGGCCTGCACAGCGGTTGTGCAGATGAACTTCTGTCCCCCTCCTCCCTGGGCTCTCCCTGCCTGTTCTCTGTGTGGCCCATCACCTGTCGGTCAGCTTTCAGTTAAGATTGGCGTGTTTGGGTTTTTTTCCCCCCAAACCAACGTGTTAGAAAAGGTATTTGAACAGCTGTCCTCCATGACATTTTTACTTTAATTCTGTGGATGAGAGGGGGAATTTTTTTTCAGTTGGGAACACCCAGTGGACTGTCTCAGAGTCCATCTTTGTTTACTGGAAAGCCTCCCCCCGCCCAAGCCCCTGGAAGAGAGTCTGGGTGAAGGTGCCACAGTAGTGGCCTCGCTGGGAAGTGACTGTTTGGATCCCTCCTTCCCTGGCAGCCAGGCACAGGCTTCAGTGCTCCCTGGACGGGGGCGGGGGGTCAGCCCTGCACACAGATGAGGTCTCCTCCCGCGTGCACCACCTGCCCTTGCACGAGAAGAGCCAGTAACAGGCTTGGGCTGTGCCCTGTGAAGTGACCTTCCTGGAGGGCAGCTCTGGGAGTGACCTGGGAGGTGCCC